TTCCGTCTACGTACGACGACACACATGAGGATCTGGACCCAACCATGTATGATGACACAGAGATTGAATCCTGGGTTGCAGATTGCTTGCCGATATGTTCACGAACTCATGACTCCAACTCGGCAGAGACCCATTGCATCAAAGATGACGATCTCGACACTTTGACGATTCCACTGATGAACTTCCCGCTTCACAACATGGAACCATTCCTCAAGGCTCCTAAGATAGATGAGGACTACTCACTATTCAGTGACTCCAAATCACGCAGTTATAGAGTCAATGACAGAGTCAATTGGCACAACTCAACCCAACTACCAGAAGGGCGTTCTTCAGCCTTGTAAGATCCTGGGCCATCAGCGAAGTCATGATCAACACCCTGCAGACCCCGAAAGACTGACCAGGAACAGATGTTTCTGTCAGCACTCGTCACTCAGAGGAAAGACCAAGAATTCATCTCGGACCACCTATTATGTCGTCAAAGTCTCCTAGCAGCATCTACGTGGCCGGACCTCTTCACAAAGCCCCTGCTACGCAAGCCCTTGTACTGCCGCAACATCCGGCAGCATCCTGCAGATGTCCAGAGAAGTGGCCATGGACTCCAAGGACAAGATGCTGATCAAGTCCATGCAGACAATGAACAACATGTACAGGCAGACTACTCAACGTAACCAGTTCCGGTCCAAATTTGCGGGAATTGGAAGATGTGAAGGATTTCGTCGTAAATCGCTCATCCGATTACTCCAGAGCTCACTCCGGCCAAGGCCGCGCCTCAGTCAACTTCCAGCCATCCCATCATTGAAGTTCAGGTTCGGAATGACTGATCCGTTCCAACCCCAGTCATTCCTGTACAACCATCAACCGTCGGACGACGTCTAGGCAACTACTAGGAGGACTGGAGACTACTAGAAGACGACTACGTCGTTCGAGTGCTGCACGAAGGGTACGAGATTCAGCTCAAGGTAACGCCTCCTCTCACTGTCAACCTGCAGGTGCACAGTTGACCGAGGCCATCGACTGCTTGCAAAGATTGCTGTAGAGATCCTGGATCAACGCAGTCTAACCACCGGCTTCTACTTTCCAAATTTCCAAAGAAGAACTACATGTATTTAGTCAGCATCGATCTGCAAGACGCCTACCTTCACATCCCCATACATCCAGCCTCGAGGAAGTTTCTACGATTCTTGTATCAAGGACAACACTACCAGTGGTCCTCCCTTTGGAATTTCCTCTGTGGCTATTTACACGTGTAACCAAGCCCATTGTTGCATATCTACATCAGTGGGGAATTCGCAGTGCCTTCTAACTAGATGACAGCATCCAGATAGCAGATCAACTCAGACGTCAACTGCAGTTTACGATGCATCTACTAATGCAGCTGGGCTGGCTAGTCATCCACATGAAGTCGGAACTAGAGCCATCACAAGATCTTCAGTTCCTCGGCATCATGTTCCCGACCATGGAGAATTGCATCACCATTCCAGAAGATCAGTGGTCAAGCATCCAGGCGTGTCTTCCAGATGCTCTCAACTCACCACTACTGATAAGATTGTGGCAGTGTCTACTAGGCCTCCTTACATCAGCACGAGCACTCACATGCAGAGGAAGATTGCAGTTACGACCGCTATAACGCTTCATCAGACCTCATCTCGAAAGTCTGCAGAAACTTTCCATCTCTCAGCACCTGAAGTCATATCTACTCTGGTGGATAGACAAGTCGAATGTCTGCGGCGGAACCTATTTGCAAGAGCTGGCCCACAACCTTCATCTCTTCATGGACGCATCTCTACAAGGATGGGGAGCGCATTGCAACAAAGTGGTCGCATCAGGAACCTGGTTGCCGGAAGAAAGGGCTCTACACATGAACCAGCAGGAATTCAAGGCGGCCATTGAGCCAGTTCAACACTGGGCACACCTGCTGAGGAATCAATTCTTTATGATCCACACAGACAAGTCAACAGTAGCCTTCTACATAAATCTACAAGGCTCAACGAGATCAGCACCGCTGCTACAACTGACGTTCCAGCTCTTAAACCTAGCAGACGACCTCCACCTAAAGATGAAGGCCTGCCATATTCCAGGGCAAAGAATGTCTAAGCCGATGCCTTATCCAGACTTGTCCGACTATCACCCACAGAGTGGATGCTGCATCCGGAAGCGTTCCAGCTGCTGACTGAAGGCCAAGGCCGTTTCCTCACAGATCTGTCTGCGACACGCTTCAATCACTGGATTGTGACATTCGTCTCATCGGTACCAGATCCTCAAGTCTGGGCTATCGAGGCTTTAGCCACACCATGGGAGGGACTGAACGCGTACGCGTTACCACCGCCGATCCTGATGTAATACAGATGTAATACAGCTCCTGGAAGAACCAACGCTGTGTCTACCAGATTGACCAAATCTACTGATCCACCCTCACAGAAGGCAACCTCACGGCTCCAGCTTCACACAACCCTGCTGGAAGAGTTTCGACCAGTTTGGGGTTTTCTGCCCGTGTTTGCTTCACATCCGCAAGAAGGAGAGTACCTGTGTCATCTGAGAGCTACTAGACACCTGAAGGGATCTACACTCTCAACATACTTGGCAGCGATCAGCTCCGTACCCACCGTGAATACGGGAGTCAAGCTCACCAAAGTACCTGAACTCGTCACCCTACTGAGGTCATTCAATCTGGAAGACCAGCAACAGAAGTTTAGAGCGCCAGCCTGACCTCAACGTACTGCTGCAACGTCTTACCAGCGATGACTACAAGCCACTGAGACACACTACATTTGAGCTGCTAACACAGAAGAAGCTGTTCTTCCTCGCAGTAGCTACAGCTGCTCGAATGTCAGAGATACACACCCTTGACTACGGACAAACCAGATTCAACCTAGGAGAGCATGCTGATGTCCACCTGGGACTTAGATGGGACTTCATAGCGAAGAATCAGCTGCTAGGTGAACCAGGTAGACAATTCAACGTCCTGGCATTATCTGTGATCCTCGGATCAGATGATGCACAAGACCTGTCCCTGTGCCCAGTCACAGCCTTGAAGAACGGACTGCTGCAAGGAGGAGGAAGTTCAAGCGTCTCTTCATCCCACTATCACCCGCCACGACTATTGAAGTCTCCCAAACAACGATCTCGTTTTGGATCACAGAGCTGTCATCCTACGAGCCTACAGAGCAGCAGGGTTGGATCCTCCCAGAGCCTCCAACCCACATGAAGTTAGAGCATTAGCCTCGACACTCACCCTGCAGGGTAATTGCTCTTTATCATCCATCACGGAAGGCTGCTTCTGGAAGTCTGAAACAGTGCTCGCCAACCATTATCTTCGGGATATCGCTACAGGAGATGTATCCGGTATCCACCAGTTGGGGCCCCTTGTAGTAGCACAACAACTCACGAATCCAGCCAGACTATGAGAAACTCACCCTTTTCATGTTGACTTGTTGATGCCAGGCTGGCAGAGAGTCTATGTTCCACTACTGTCTTACGGGATAAGTCAGTGCATGAGTGATTTAGACTCAGTTTTTGTAATAGCTCTTACCTTAACATATGGGTCGCCATTCAGTTTCGGTAATAGTCCTTACCTTAACATATTGACCGTTCCAGATAACTAGACATCGATGCATACTAGTTATCTAAAATCCATGAAATCTACACGATTTACTTCCTTATAAACTTAAGAGAAAGTGGTCCCCCGATTTTCATCAGGATGTTTAGAACGCAGTAGAAGAAGCCGTAAGAAGAGTTCCAGGGGATATATGATGCTATTTGATCTAACAGTCACAGTGAATCTCATGAAGCAATATAGCATGAGTCAGGATAAGGAAGAATATGTAATTTTTATGATAACATTGATATTTTATACTTAACCTGACTCATGATCTGAAGGGCCCTCCCAACTGTCCCCTCTCAGCACTATGGGCTTCACTGCAGGCCCTATTGTGGGCATATTCAGGAGAGAGTGAGGAGAGCTTGGCTAAGGTCACGGGAGTGAGTGAGTGAGTTTAGTTTTATGCCGCACTCAGCAATATTCCAGCTGTTTGGCGGCAGTCTGTAAATAATCATGTTTGGACCAGACAATCCAGTGATCAACAGCATGAGCATAGACCTGCGCAATTGGGAACCGATGACATGTGTCAACCAAGCCAGCAAGCCTGACCACCCGATCCCGTTAGTCTCCTCTTACGACAAGCATGGGTTACTGAAGATTCATTCTAACCCGGACCTTCACGGGTCCTCAGGTCACGTGAGACAGTTTTGGTGGGAAAGTGGGGCTCCAGATTGGTGAGTGCATTTCTACTCTTCTTGGGAACAAAGCGATTCAAGTTTCCACTTAACCGTCGAAAGGGAAAGAGAGATAAGCAATATAGCATGCGTCAGGATGAGTATAAGATATCAAAATTACATATATCTTAAAGAGTATTACATGCTGATTTAAATATATATTTAAATTTCAACTAATTACCATGAGAAAAGTAAAGGTATTCAGAATGTTATATCAGACATGGACACATTTGCAAGAAAAACATGATACTTATTCAAATGCTCTATTAATTCATTAGCTTTACTGTCATGTGTCATTATAAACCAGTGAAATAAATATAACAGAGTATTCAGGTGAATACCCCGCACCCCGCTATTATTTGGCACACTCACATCAGCTGTTGCAAGGGAGGCCAAGGCCAGGCAGCATTCTCCTCAGACACACTCTTTCATTACTGTGATAAATTTTCTTCCTCATGTTTTTAGTTTAGGGCTGTTGTTAGAAAGAAAAAACAAACAACATATGCATGAATGCCTATGCAAATACCCATGGAATACATAATACCCATAATTACAAATGGCAGCAGTGGAATGACATCAGTGGATAAAACTGAAATAGGTTTGGACATTCTAGTTGCCAGATCAGCACATTGATAAGAATTGCCCTTAATCCTTTCATCAGTTTGAATTGAAGTAGCAGCATAAAACTAGGTGACATAGTGTTCACATTTATCTGTTCTTCATTGCAGAAACTTTGCCTGAAAATGAGGACCACTATGGTGTAGAGATGGAGATGTATCTGAAGCTTGAGGATGTGTTGCAGCCAGGGGAGAAGGATAACTCGGAACACAACGGGGGCATCCTCAGGTTCTCTACCACAAGTGAACGTGGAAAGCTCCCCACAAGAGGGAAGCAATCAGGACTGACTGCCATGATGACTGTCCAGAGAAGGAAGACTGTGAGGAGGTCTGAGATGCTGCCGGTCATTGAGGACTGGCGAGGGGAGAAGGAGGATAGTGAAGGCGAGCTACCAGAGTTTCATACCAGTGGCTTTGTACGGGGAGTAGACAAGCAACAACAGCATGTTATCAGTAGTATTTCTCCACAACACACTGAAGCAAACAGCGACAAAAATAAATCCCATAAAGATAAAATGAAGCAAGATCTAAACATTCTGCACACAAAGAGGGAAATTAGCTTAATCAAACCTATCACAATAGATGATAGTGATTTTGAAGAAGATGCTCCATTTGCAGTGATAGACATGAAACAAGAAGAAGATTCCTTAGATTGTGATGAGTGGAATATGGATTTAAGTCTTGGTCAAGAGAAGGGAAAAATGTGTATTGCTCGTACAGAATGTTTTGATGTTACAGATCATCAAGTCAATTCCACAATGTTACACAAACATACTGATGTGATTTCTCAGGGTAGCGTGCCCACTTGCCCTTTACAGCTAGGAACATTCATGATCAGACCAGCTCCGCCTTTGCAGGAGGTTGATATGGTATTCAGTGATCTTAGAAATGAAGCTGAGTTACCTCCCTTAGATCTTAAGCCACTTGTTCGCGAGTGGTATGAGGAAAATTTTGGACCAGCAGGGCGTGTTTTTGTGAGTACCTGGGAGAAGCAACATCAAGTTTCAGTTGGGACAGATCTGGAAGTTTGTGATAGTACTGCACTGTGCAGCAATCTGAGTGCTACCACAGGTGACAAGACGAATGTGTTACTGTCTGATGATCAAAGGGGGAGGACATACTCTCAATACGCAGATGGTCACTGCAGGTATCAGTGACCAGTCCAGTTCTGACTCCGATGTACATACATTTACTTGGATGAAACCTGTACCAACAAGGCCTGAAAGGAACACAGCAAAGGATAATCTATCAGTGCTCAAACTAAATAATTTGAAAAGCGTTCCCACAGGTGCTGAACATTTTCCCTCACAAAAGCCAGAAAAAAAAGTTTTGGAAACATGTGACAAAGCTAGTGTTGATATCATAGACCTTGGTGTAAGTATGAATAGAAGTGCAAATTTCAGGAAGAGTATAATGACAAAAGATGACCATAGGATTGTTATAAGTGATAAGCCTAACAAGCTGGAGCAAGAGACAGACCGTATTCACAGTCTGCACACTGAGGGTTTTGCAAATGAACTTGGGTCACAACATTCATATCTTGAAGATGACATAATGAATGATCAGTACCCAGATGTCGGTACACCCCAAACATTACATGGTGCCAGATTCCCTCACCCAGAGGCACTGTCCTTCACACAGGCCCTATTGTGTGTGCAGAGTAGTGAGGAACACCCACATGACCATGGGGAGCTTGTACTTGAAGACCTCAAACAAGGGGAACATCAACTGGGCCAAGGTCAGCTGGTGGTGGAAGACTACAGACAGAAGGAGCACTTAGAGGACCATCAACAGGTTGTGGTGGAAGACTTCAGACAGGATCACTTACAGGACCAGGAACAGCCTGTGGTGGAAGACAACAGACAGAAGGAGCACTTAAAGGACCAGGAACAGCCTGTGGTGGAAGACAACAGACAGAAGGAGCACTTAAAAGACCAGGAACAGCCTGTGGTGGAAGACAACAGACAGAAGGAGCACTTAAAGGACCAGGAACAGCCTGTGGTGGAAGACAACAGACAGAAGGAGTACTTAAAAGACCAGGAACAGCCTGTGTTTGAAGACAACAGACTGAAGGAGCACTTAAAGGACCAGGAACAGCCTGTGGTGGAAGACAACAGACAGAAGGAGTACTTAAAAGACCAGGAACAGCCTGTGGTGGAAGACTTCAGGCAGGATCACTTACAGGACCAGGAACAGACTGTGGTGAAGGACCTCAAACAGGACACAGATGATATTGGTCATTTTATGCCAAGCTTTAATTTGTTTGATAATGATTCAGATTATGACGATGGATACCAAGATGAGCAGCAAACTAATTTATGTTCTTCTTCATCTGATGCTATAAAGCATTCATTTTCTGAGATAAAGGTGACCCAGGACAAAAGTACATCTATCAAGTCTGCTCCAGAAGTGATGTCTAGTGATGAGCAACAACATTCAGAAGTTCCTGATGTGACTGCAGCATCTCAGCCTCACTCAAACAACGATGGGGACGATTTTGACATGCCACGATTTGACCTTGAATTTGACCTTGATGATGATATCATACCACCATCCCCTATGGCAGCTCAAACATTTTCTCAGATGTCCTTAAGTCGTTCACAAGTTAGTATCCCTAGTCGGAAAAAATTAAACTTCAAGGAGACTAATGACTTTGTTTCTGAGGAGAGAGATGAGGATGTGACAGCCATGCAATGTGGGACTGCTGGTAAGACATCAAATGAAGTGCAGCATATGTCCCGGGACAATCCACTTGATAATGATATAGGCACAGTGAACTTACCTAATAGTCCAGGATCAAGTGCACTGACTGAGGGAAAAATTATGAATAAGACCTCTGCTTCAAAAGCAGTCACAATGTCTCCCTCAACTGTGTTTGACAAGGCAGATCAAGGAGACATTCTGAATTCAATGCCCAGAACCCCATTCCTCAACAGTCCTTTGTCAAGCCATGTTCGAAGTAGCACTCCTAAGATTGGGATGTCCAAGATGGCCTCATGCATCTCACATCTGGCCCAGATTGCTACCCCAGTAATGAACACAGTCTCCACCAGGATTACGACTGGTATGCTGACCAGTCCACATCCTACGCTGGCACAAACAAACCAGCTGTCTAACAGTCCCAGCAGCTCCACACACAGCAGTCCACATGAAGGTTGGTATTTAGACATTGAACTTGCAACATTTGGAAACGACATTAAAAATCTCACATTTGCAGATTGATTAATGTTGTGAGACAAAACACTTTTTACATGTTGATATGGAATATATGTCATAGTGTATAGGTAACTTAATTTCAGGGCTTATAGACCCCAAAGCCACATAATCCTCTTCATCAAATCAAAATGCAATTGTACACAATTATTCATTTACAGCTTAACTTATCTACTGAGGTGATAGATTCTGTTGTAGCCATAGCTAGTTTTACCAGGGAATGTTTTAAGGTTTTGTCCTCAATTTATCACTGCTGTTGTCAGTAGTATCATATATGTAATGTCTATCTCCTTTATAATCCTGGTAAATGTTATGTCAGGGTCATCCTCCCGTATGTACGGCTTTCTGGAAAATATCTCTAGCAAGGCTAATTCTGCAAATACTTACAGACACTTTGTCGTACATACAAATAGCATACCCTCTATTGCATCAGTGCCAGATTTATTGTTTTAAAAAACATCTCCATATTTCCAACAGAAATACTCTTCACTGTCAACTACCCATAACCACTTGTGAGATTTATTGTATCTGGATGGTCCAAAGCTAACACCAGCTTTCATGGAAATACAGAAGTGATTGGACAAGTATGCCATATAGGATCTAGAGTATACAGATGATAGCCACAGTTCTCTGCCAACAGAAATCTTTTCAAATTAGGAGATAAACGTACTGTGTTTGGAAATTAGATGAATGTTAGACAGAATTTATAGTCTCTAAATTTCATTTGAATCTCCATTCTACCATAACCGATTTAAAATTGAACTTCTTCGTTCTGCGGAAGACACTACGTCATCCGGCATGGGACGAGAGACGATTTGAATTCATCTGTGAAGGGAGTGGTAGATGCCGTTCGTATTTTGAGATAGGTTGAAATTTGAAGTGACCGTGGAAAATGATTGACTGACTGTCGAATCTGAACCCTGCAGAATCGAAGAATAGATCCTGCTCAGTGTCAAGGAAATGCCAAGGAAATTCAATGTACCTGCCACTGCACTATTATGTCGTGACAAGATCCTCACCATGGAATGTACTCCACATCTGGGAGCATTTGGTCAGGTAGTGCTCTCTTGGGAACAGCCTCATTTTCTCATGTTTGCGATGTCACCCAACAATTAGGTGCCAACATATGTCAGTCTAGGTCTGGACCCTCAAGCTTATTCAGTGAATGTCAACTTCATGGGAGAATGTAACAGCTTATGCAATTCCATCACCAGCAATGTTCCCCAAAATGAAATCCTATTAAGACATTTTAACTAGTGGCACCAGCATGTCCCACATCACCATGGTTTCTGGATCTTTTCTGGCTCCTACTGGATCGACCTCTTGAATTGCCCCTCTGGCCAACACTGCTCAGGCAACCGAGCACCAACAGAATCTGGAGCAGCTCCACCTTCACGTCCAAGGACACCTCGCTTCAGTTGGATTTTTGCACTAGGTTTCCTCTGCTGTTATGCAGTCAGTCAGACCTTCAATATCTGCCATGTATGATTTTAAATGGAACCAATTTCAGTAGTGGAGACTCCTATAGCTGTTCCAGTTGTATTGATTTTCTTAAACATCTACTAAAGAACAGCACCTATTATGTGGCATTTGAAGGGGTATTGCTCTGCTATAGCTTCAGTTCTTACCAAGCAAGGAATCCACATGGGGAAAGATTCTATACTCACAGGCTTGCCCTGTTGTTTTTAGATTGAAGATATCCCTAATCATCGTATCTCTACCAATGGGATATATCTGGAGTATTATGAGTACTTCTAAGTCATCCGTTTGAGCCTATGGACAAAGCATCAATCTCTTGTCTTGCTTGGAAAACTGCCTTCCTCATGGCTTTTTCCACAGCTTCTAGGATATAGTGATGTTCTCCAAGAATCCATCAATAGTTATACTTACAGCACTCCTGTGATTTCTAGCCAAGAAAGTCTTCCATGGTACCACCAGGACAGCACTTTCACACACTATACCAACTCGGGCTTCTATGTTTGACCAAGTATTAGCTAAAGGGACTTTGAATGGTACATCCAGAGGACTGACCCCTTCAGATGAGGGTGTTTTTGTTTCTGGATATCTCAGATTAGACCACATCAGTTGCCGCCAGGTTCAAAAATACTATTAATCTCACTTCCACTGTGGTTCAACAGACTCTCCAGTGTATGGATCACTCAGACAGTCCTCTACTGTGACCTGGAAAACCTTACCCCTGGAACAGGTCATGTCAGACTGCCAGTGGGCATCATCTACTTACTTACACATCTTACTGTATCTTATCTTTTGTAGTGGCATAGAAGATCTGCCAGGTCTCAATGACCTACTGGGGCAAAAGGGTATATATAGAATGTTGTCAGCGAAAAGGAGTTCAGAGTGTTGTCTCAACCACCAGATGCAGGTTGTCTTAACAGTTAATATTTATTCTCTGTTGTGTATTGTTGTCTTCCTTACTTGTTTTACAGTACTCTGAGCCTACTAAACCTTATGTGGGATTTGGCAGTCAAGCATTTGAGAGTCGTATTTGTAAGATTTTGTACATTGTCAACAGTGAAAACACTTAATAGAATACTACCTCTAACGCTTGAGTATTAAGGCCCACCGATCCATTCCTTACCTTCTTTTAAGGTACCTCTAGGAAACATTATATGGAAGGAGAGGTAACTCAATCTCGGTTAGGGGACCACAAGGAAGAAAGACAGCACGTTTGGTTGGACTTCAATTATAATAGGAATGACAAGTCTTTATGGCTGATCAACTTCTTTATTGTATAATAGCGACATTTTGGTATAGATACAATGCCGTACGGTAATTCCGCGCACCTAAGCACATCGATCGCAACAAGGCAACTAACGTCTCTTATTTTTTGTGGTTTACGTGACTAAACATGATGGTATGCATCATATTTACCTAGAAATATAAGTTTTATTGACGACTATAAGATTCTAAGGTTGAATTATGCAATACGGTTG